CAGCAATACGAAAATGACACAGCATCGAAACCCAAATTTGACCCAAGACTCTTTTGCCCTGATAGGAAAGTTCTGCCTCCAACCATGCATAAACTAAAACAGACTTGATGTAGAGTAAGCCTACCTTAGCTGGAAATTCCCAGAATCTACTAAATTATGAGCTTCTAATGACTTCTGTCTCTTAGCTGCCACGTGCACGGAGGAATGGTTCCTGTAAGCAGTTAAATAAAATTTAGTAATCCCAGCATACACTCTAGGGGTCTCTGTATTTATTGGGGTTCCCTAACTAATATTTTTGTACACAGAAAGATTACTAGCATCGGGCAGCTGGGCTCAATACGGCGTAATCTACCAGACAAGACAAGAAAAGAGACTTTAGGTAAGACCCCATGTGGGATGACGGGACAGGCGAAGAATAGCGTTGGAGAGAAGTGTCCACAGTCCAGTATTGGGCCCCTACTTAAACAAGATGGGTCCTACACAGATGACAGCAAGGAAATGAGTGAGCTACTCAAGTCCCAATATGACTCAGTTTTTAGCAAGCCGCTAACCAGACTGAGAGTCGAAGATCAAAATGAATTTTTTATGAGAGAGCCACAAAATTTGATTAACACAAGCCTATCCGATGTTATCCTGACGCCAAATGACTTCGAACAGGCGATAAATGACATGCCCATGCACTCTGCCCCAGGGCCAGACTCATGGAACTCTGTGTTCATCAAGAACTGCAAGAAGCCCTATCACGAGCCTTTTCCATCCTATGGAGAGGGAGCATGGACACGGGGGTCGTCCCTCAGTTACTAAAAACAACAGACATAGCCCCACTCCACAAAGGGGGCAGTAAAGCAACAGCAAAGAACTACAGACCAATAGCACTAACATCCCATATCATAAAAATCTTTGAAAGGGTCCTAAGAAGCAAGATCACCACCCATCTAGAAACCCATCAGTTACACAACCCAGGGCAACATGGGTTTAGAACAGGTCGCTCCTGTCTGTCTCAACTACTGGATCACTACGACAAGGTCCTAAATGCACTAGAAGACAAAAAGAATGCAGATGTAATATATACAGACTTTGCAAAAGCCTTCGACAAGTGTGACCATGGCGTAATAGCGCACAAAATGCGCGCTAAAGGAATAACAGGAAAAGTTGGTCGATGGATCTATAATTTCCTCACTAACAGAACACAGAGAGTAGTCGTCAACAGAGTAAAGTCCGAGGCAGCTACGGTGAAAAGCTCTGTTCCACAAGGCACAGTACTAGCTCCCATCTTGTTCCTCATCCTCATATCCGACATAGACAAGGATGTCAGCCACAGCACCGTGTCTTCCTTTGCAGATGACACCCGAATCTGCATGACAGTGTCTTCCATTGCAGACACTGCAAGGCTCCAGGCGGACATCAACCAAATCTTTCAGTGGGCTGCAGAAAACAATATGAAGTTCAACGATGAGAAATTTCAATTACTCAGATATGGTAAACATGAGGAAATTAAATCTTCATCAGAGTACAAAACAAATTCTGGCCACAAAATAGAGCGAAACACCAACGTCAAAGACCTGGGAGTGATTATGTCGGAGGATCTCACCTTCAAGGACCATAACATTGTATCAATCGCATCTGCTAGAAAAATGACAGGATGGATAATGAGAACCTTCAAAACTAGGGAGGCCAAGCCCATGATGACACTCTTCAGGTCACTTGTTCTATCTAGGCTGAATATTGCTGCACTCTAACAGCACCTTTCAAGGCAGGGTGAAATTGCCGACCTAGAAAATGTACAGAGAACTTTCACGGCGCGCATAACGGAGATAAAACACCTCAATTACTGGGAGCGCTTGAGGTTTCTAAACCTGTATTCCCTGGAACGCAGGAGGGAGAGATACATGATTATATAACCTGGAAAATCCTAGAGGGACTAGTACCGAACTTGCACACGAAAATCACTCACTACGAAAGCAAAAGACTTGGCAGACGATGCACCATCCCCCCAATGAAAAGCAGGGGTGTCACTAGCACGTTAAGAGACCATACAATAAGTGTCAGGGGACCGAGACTGTTCAACTGCCTCCCAGCACACATAAGGGGGATTACCAACAGACCCCTGGCAGTCTTCAAGCTGGCACTGGACAAGCACCTAAAGGCAGTTCCTGATCAGCCGGGCTGTGGCTCGTACGTTGGTTTGCGTGCAGCCAGCAGCAACAGCCTGGTTGATCAGGCGCTGATCCACCAGGAGGCCTGGTCACAGACCGGGCCGCGGGGGCGTTGACCCCCGAAACTCTCTCCAGGTAAACTCCAGTCGTAGAGAAAGTGCCAGGACTTAACCCGGCAGCTTGGCGCTCGTGGGACAGAATGGAGAAACAGGAATAGCAGGATCTGTTGCATCGGTCTTGTGGCAGTTGAAGGTCTTGAATCTTGAAAAGCTGGCAGCAGGCTAGGTCGCAGGGCAGGGCAGGCAGGTTAGAACATCAGAGGGCAGCTCATTGGTTGTGTTACTTGACGTGATTAAAGTGGCAAGTTTGTAGAGGAGCCGTTTTCATTTTTTTTTTGTAGCTGCTACTTGAGAGGTGATGAAACTTAGTCTTGTTTCCAAAGGTGAAACGTAGAGGCTAGAGGAATTCCAGAACTTGGGTAAGTGTGCAGTGAAGAGGTGGCTCGCAAGTAAACTTGACAGTTCCAGCACAGAGGCCTTTGTAGAGCTCACTGCAGGTCATGGTGTCAGCGTTAGTTGGAGAAGTGTAAAAGGTAAGGTTTTCCCATGAGGGTGTGCTGGAGTCATCAATATCTTCTTCTTCAGAAGTAGATTCAGTGGGTGAATCTACAATGGTGCTGGCAGGTGACGATGGGCCGGCAGGAACAGTGGAGAGTTGTAGTGGTGGTGTATAAACAGGTTGAGAAACGTGGGAGATGGTGGCTGAGGCAGAATAAACAGCGTTGTCGGCGGTGGAGGTGAACATAAACAACTGGTGAAAGGAAACATGCCCAATGTTTATACCCTTGCCGGGAATCGAACCCGGACCCTCACCGTGTGAAGCGAGAACCTTTGCCACCAGGCCACAGACACCATGGACTGGTGAGGGTGGCATCCTGGAGGACGAGATTGGAGGACCACAACGGAAATAAGACAAAAGGTCCTCGATGACGTACTAACTTTCTTGGGTTATCCAGGGTGGCTAACCCTCCTCTGAGTTGAAAATCCGAGCAAGATCTAACCTTAACAAGTGCAGTCGTACATACTCAGGAAGTAAGACGCCTGGCTCTGCTGGCGTTTAAGACTGAAATCCACTTTATCTAAATTGGGAATTTCATTTTTCATTTTTCTGCCGGAGGAAACTCTTTTTTTCCTTTCTGTTTTCCATCATTTTTCGGCAATAGGTGTCTTGTAGCACTATCGCTAGCGTACTCAGCTCACACACTGAGGTAAGTAAGTTTTTTTCAGGTATACACAAATACAGTTACGTAGATTATCATACATATCTGCATATATATATATATATAGATAACCTAGGATAACCCAGAAAAATCAGACAGTGACTTATTTCCATTGAGGTCCGGAGTTCGAATCTCCAGTACGACTGGCTAACATTAGAACGTGTTTCCATAAGACACCTGCTGTCCCTGTTCACCCATCAATATAAAATGGGTACCTGAGTGTTAGTGGACTGGTGTGAGTCGCATCCTGGGACAAAACTGATCTAATTTGCTGGAAATGCTCAGCATAACAAGCTGCTTTCTATATAGTAGTATGTCAATGATGTCAGCTATGGTTTGTATACCTTGTACATGTACTTGTAGGAATAAAGATATTGTAATTATTAATGTATTTTCCCCCGGACTCCCTGGAGGCAGGACTCAGTGAAGCTTTGGTGGCCCTAAACAACAGTGAAGCTTTGGTGGCCCTGAACAACAGTGAAGCTTTGGTGGCCCTAAACAACAGTGAAGCTTTGGTAGCCCTGAACAACAGTGAAGCTTTGGTGGCCCTGAACAACAGTGAAGCTTTGGTGGCCCTAAACAACAGTGAAGCTTTGGTGGCCCTGAACAACAGTGAAGCTTTGGTGGCCCTGAACAACAGTGAAGCTTTGGTAGCCCTAAACAACAGTGAAGCTTTGGTGGCCCTGAACAACAGCGAAGCTTTGGTGGCTCTGAACAACAGTGAAGCTTTGGTGGTCCTGAACAACAGTGAAGCTTTGGTGGCCCTGAACAACAGCGAAGCTTTGGTGGCTCTGAACAACAGTGAAGCTTTGGTGGTCCTGAACAACAGTGAAGCTTTGGTAGCCCTGAACAACAGTGAAGCTTTGGTGGTCCTGAACAACAGTGAAGCTTTGGTGGCCCTGAACAACAGTGAAGCTTTGGTGGCCCTGAACAACAGTGAAGCTTTGGTGGCTCTGAACAACAGTGAAGCTTTGGTGGTCCTGAAGAACAGTGAAGCTTTGGTGGCCTGAAAAAACAGTGAAGCTTTGGTGGCCTGAACAACAGCGAAGCTTTGGTGGCTCTGAACAACAGTGAAGCTTTGGTGGTCCTGAACAACAGTGAAGCTTTGGTGGCCCTGAACAACAGTGAAGCTTTGGTGGCCCTGAACAACAGCGAAGCTTTGGTGGCTCTGAACAACAGTGAAGCTTTGGTGGTCCTGAACAACAGTGAAGCTTTGGTAGCCCTGAACAACAGTGAAGCTTTGGTGGTCCTGAACAACAGTGAAGCTTTGGTGGCCCTGAACAACAGTGAAGCTTTGGGGGCCCTGAAAACAGTGAAGCTTTGGTGGCCCTGAACAACAGTGAAGCTTTGGTGGCCCTGAACAACAGTGAAGCTTTGGTGGCCCTGAACAACAGTGAAGCTTTGGTGGCCCTGAACAACAGTGAAGCTTTGGTGGCCCTGAACAACAGTGAAGCTTTGGTGGCCCTGAACAACAGTGAAGCTTTGGTGGCTCTGAACAACAGTGAAGCTTTGGTGGCCCTGAACAACAGTGAAGCTTTGGTGGCCCTGAACAACAGTGAAGCTTTGGTGGCCCTGAACAACCCCAACACAACAACAACACCACTCGCTGTTCTGCTTACTTGAAGACATCTGTTATTTACCTCCAATAACACCACTATAATAACAGTTTAAAATATTATTAGTGAACTACTAATGCATTAAGTAAGTGAGAATGATGGTACCATAATTTTATTGTATAAAACCAGCCAGGTGGCCATAAATTTTGACAAATATGTTTGTGTTTTGTGGTCTAGATTATTATTATTATAATCAAAAAGAAGCGCTAAGCCACAAGGACTATACAGGTGGTCTAGATGAACTTGCTCTCAGCTGTATATTATAAAGTTTATTATACAATTATTATACAATTATTATACAGTTTAGTATGTTGTTTATTACAAAACTACGTCAACATAACTAACAGTTCACAACTGTACTGTCACAACCGTACTGTCACAACTGTACTGTCACAACTGTACTGTCACAACTGTACTGTCACAACCGTACTGTCACAACTGTACTGTCACAACCGTACTGTCACAACCGTACTGTCACAACTGTACTGTCACAACCGTACTGTCACAACTGTACTGTCACAAACCGTACTGTCACAACTGTACTGTCACAACCGTACTGTCACAACTGTACTGTCACAACTGTACTGTCACAACTGTACTGTCACAACTGTACTGTCACAACCGTACTGTCACAACTGTACTGTCACAACTGTACTGTCACAACTGTACTGTCACAACTGTACTGTCACAACCGTACTGTCACAACTGTACTGTCACAACTGTACTGTCACAACCGTACTGTCACAACTGTACTGTCACAACTGTACTGTCACAACTGTACTGTCACAACTGTACTGTCACAACCGTACTGTCACAACTGTACTGTCACAACCGTACTGTCACAACTGTACTGTCACAACCGTACTGTCACAACTGTACTGTCACAACCGTACTGTCACAACTGTACTGTCACAACTGTACTGTCACAACTGTACTGTCACAACTGTACTGTCACAACCGTACTGTCACAACTGTACTGTCACAACTGTACTGTCACAACCGTACTGTCACAACTGTACTGTCACAACTTGTACTGTCACAACTGTACTGTCACAACTGTACTGTCACAACCGTACTGTCACAACTGTACTGTCACAACCGTACTGTCACAACTGTACTGTCACAACCGTACTGTCACAACTGTACTGTCACAACCGTACTGTCACAACTGTACTGTCACAACCGTACTGTCACAACTGTACTGTCACAACCGTACTGTCACAACCGTACTGTCACAACCGTACTGTCACAACCGTACTGTCACAACTGTACTGTCACAACCGTACTGTCACAACTGTACTGTCACAACCGTACTGTCACAACTGTACTGTCACAACCGTACTGTCACAACCGTACTGTCACAACTGTACTGTCACAACCGTACTGTCACAACTGTACTGTCACAACCGTACTGTCACAACCGTACTGTCACAACCGTACTGTCACAACCATACTGTCACAACCGTACTGTCACAACTGTACTGTCACAACCGTACTGTCACAACCGTACTGTCACAACCATACTGTCACAACCATACTGTCACAACCATACTGTCACAACCGTACTGTCACAACTGTACTGTCACAACTGTACTGTCACAACCATACTGTCACAACCATACTGTCACAACCATACTGTCACAACCGTACTGTCACAACTGTACTGTCACAACTGTACTGTCACAACCATACTGTCACAACCGTACTGTCACAACCATACTGTCACAACCATACTGTCACAACCGTACTGTCACAACCATACTGTCACAACCGTACTGTCACCAACCGTTTCTGTCACAACCATACTGTCACAACCATACTGTCACAACCGTACTGTCACAACCATACTGTCACAACCATACTGTCACAACCATACTGTCACAACCGTACTGTCACAACCGTACTGTCACAACTGTACTGTCACAACTGTACTGTCACAACCGTACTGTCACAACTGTACTGTCACAACCGTACTGTCACAACCGTACTGTCACAACCGTACTGTCACAACCGTACTGTCACAACCGTACTGTCACAACCGTACTGTCACAACCATACTGTCACAACCATACTGTCACAACCGTACTGTCACAACCATACTGTCACAACCATACTGTCACAACCATACTGTCACAACCCTACTGTCACAACCGTACTGTCACAACCATACTGCCCCAAAACCCTACTGCCACAACCGTACTGTCACAACCGTACTGTCACAACCATACTGTCACAACCATACTGCCACAACCATACTGCCACAACCGTACTGTCACAACCGTACTGTCACAACCATACTGTCACAACCATACTGTCACAACCATACTGTCACAACCATACTGTCACAACCATACTGCCACAACCGTACTGTCACAACCATACTGTCACAACCATACTGTCCCCAAAACCCTACTGTCACAACCGTACTGTCCACAACCATACTGTCACAACCATACTGTCACAACCGTACTGTCACAACCGTACTGTCACAACCGTACTGTCACAACCATACTGCCACAACCATACTGTCACAACTGTACTGTCACAACCGTACTGTCACAACCGTACTGTCACAACCGTACTGTCACAACCGTACTGTCACAACCGTACTGTCACAACCGTACTGTCACAACCGTACTGTCACAACCGTACTATCACAACCGTACTGTCACAACCGTACTGTCACAACTGTACTGTCACAACCGTACTGTCACAACCGTACTGTCACAACCGTACTGTCACAACCGTACTGTCACAACTGTACTGTCACAACCGTACTGTCACAACGGTACTATCACAACCGTACTGTCACAACCGTACTGTCACAACCGTACTGTCACAACCGTACTGTCACAACCGTACTGTCACAACCGTACTGTCACAACCGTACTGTCACAACCGTACTGTCACAACCGTACTGTCACAACCGTACTGTCACAACCAAACTGCCACAGCCATACTGCCACAACCATACTGCCACAACCATACTGCCACAACTGTACCACCACCATACCACCACCACTATACTGCCACCATACCACCACCACCATCATGCCACCATCACCGTCCTGCCACCATCACTGTCCCACCACCACCATACTACCAAAACCATTCCATCATCACAACCATACCATTATAACCATACCACCATCACAACCATACTGCCACCACCACACCACCATTACAACCATACCACTAAAACCACCACCACCACAATACCATCACAACCATACCATCACAACCCTACCAGCACAACCATAACTAGGGCTAAAAGTGATCAGGGTATAAAAAAAATGGAGAAAAAGAAATCGGAATGACTTATGCAGCAAGTAGCACCACCAGACAGTTAGTGGCAGGTTGGTGTGATGGCTCCAGAAATTTGAAATTATTCTAGCCCAAGTTAGTGCCAGATTACTGATGGAACCGGAATACTGATTGCTGGATTAGTGGTGGCCGACCTGTACTTATAGCTACAAATGTTATGTAAATAATATTTATTTCCTTAAATTCTAGTTGCTGGTGTGTCACTGATTTTAAAAGTAGTGGAGCAGGATGGTTTGGTCCAACTGGGCTGATATGGAAGGTTGTAGCTGAGGTTCTGGTACTGATGTCAATAAAGGGTGCTTTAGTGGAACCTCGACTTGCGAATTTAATCCATTCCGTGACCTAGCTCATAACTCAGTTTGCTCATATATCAAATCAATTTTCCTCATTTAAATTAATTGAAATTCCATTAATCTATTCCAGCGAAATTCCTGCTCTTGGGAGGCAGGACAAAATACTTCGGTATAATGCTAATATCAACTCTACGGCTTATTTATCTGTCACAATTGATCTAATATGACATAATAAACAATATAAATAACATAGAAACATGATATATACTATAGAATGAATAAAATATGTCAGTATGTGACGAGTAGTGGTGGTGGCCTCTCCCGAGGTAAAAATAATTACAGTGGACCCCCGCATAACGATTACCGCCGAATGCGACCAATTATGTAAGTGTATTTATGTAAGTGCGTTTGTACGTGTATGTTTGGGGGTCTGAAATGGACTAATCTACTTCACAATATTCCTTATGGGAACAAATTCGGTCAGTACTGGCACCTGAACATACTTCTGGAGTGAAAAAATATCGTTAACCGGGGGTCCACTGTATTGCTCTGACCATATCTTTCCATGCTTCCCCTTCTGAGGTCTTATTATACATGAAAACGGAGTGTTTGTGAGGCTAACTGCACTAGATCACTAGTTTCATAAGGAAAACACTAAAACAATGTATTTTAGAAATAAATACGTATTGCATAAAAATATAATAAAGCATAATAAAGAATGTAAAGAAATAAAGTGGTTTTATAAAGTGTACATATTTATCTTGGAGAAAAGATGCTGGCGGAGGTTGAGGGTGGAAAAGCTAAGCTGAACGGAGTTTGCTGCCAGTGGCCCTATAAACCCCAGCAACAACAACAACATTTTGTAAAGTAAAAGGGCACAAGTGCAACTAATGTGACATTTTATTGTGGCAATGTTTCGCTCTCCAGGAGCTTTATCAAGCCATGGCTTGATAAAGCTCCTGGAGAGCGAAAAGTTGCCACAATAAAATGTCACATTAGTTGCACTTGTGTCCTTTTACTTTACATATTGTCGGTAATTCTACCAACTTCATTACAACAACAACAACATTGGAGAAATTCATTTCATTTTGTCCTTTTTCTGTTGCTTAATCGCTTAACTTATTTGCTACACTCTTAATGCTACACTTTATTGCTGAACTTATCTGCTACAATTTGTATTTTATTCGTTTTCTCACTTCACTTTTCACTGATTTACTTGCTACACTCTTAATGCTACACTTCTGCTTCAGTTGTACATATCGTAGAAGTACTACACTGGTTCTGGCTGGCCAAGTCTACAACCCGCACACCTCGCTTGTGTTTATGATTTCATGCTCTAATTCCGTGGACATCATCCTCTTTCTCTTCTCAGCACTCTCCTTTGCACTTACTTAGGTTAGAAAAAATAAATTTGGCAAAATAGCTGCACAACACTCAAGCAAAACACAAGAGAAATGCTTCCACGGCG